TCATGAGCACGCGTTCCAGTTTTTGAAGGTATTCCTCAAACGTACGGCCTACGATAATGATGTCATCCAAGTAGACCAGACAGGCATCTCCAATTAGCCCGGTAAGTACAAGCTCCATCAACCTTTCAAACGTTGCTGGAGAATTGCACAATCCAAACGGCATGACTTCAAATTGCCACAGACCCTTTCCTGTCGAGAATGCAGTTTTCTCCTTGTCCTTAGGGTTAATTTCAACCTGCCAGTAGCCACTTTTCAGATCCAGCGTACTAAACCACTTTACGCCTGTAAGCATGTCCAGCGTGTCATCAATTCTTGGCAAGGGATAGCTGTCCTTCTTCGTAACGTCGTTCAGACGGCGGTAGTCAACACAAAACCGCATGCTGCCGTCCTTCTTCTTTACCAGTACCACAGGTGAACACCATGGACTAGATGAAGGTTCAATAACACCATCCTTCACCATTCCCTCAATAATGGTTTCCACTTCCTTTTCACGTGCTACAGGCAATCTTCTTGGCCGCTGACGAATAGGCAATTCTTGTCCTGTGTTTATTTTGTGTTGAACTAAGCCAGTCTTTCCTATGTCAGCTTCGTTTGACGAGAAAACATTGGCGTACTTGAGTAACAACTTCTTCGCCTTGACCATTTCATTCGGGGAGAGAACGCTGCGACAGTCTTCTGGGGGTCCTAGTCGATAGATATTCGCACCGACGCAACCAATCCACTTCTTCACTAGTACCAACCAATGTGCCTTTTTCTATAATCTGTTCCTGATCATAAAGGTTGAACACACGTACTCCTGAGATGTCGGTGGTTCTGACCAAGGTTCGAGCCACTTTCCATGGAAGGTCATTGTCTACTCTTTCCACGAGTATACAACGATGAGCTTGCCCAGGATTCCGAGGAACACTAACCGGCACAATCGTTTCTGATCCCGGCGGAAGAACAATCTTCTTAAGGCTGTACACATTCCCTGGTAACGCTCCTTCCTCGAAAAGTTTCTCTTGCCCACATTTCAAAACACCTTGCTTAACGTCAATCTCACAACAATTCTTCCTCATAAAGTCTAGGCCCAGGAAGCAGTCGTCCATTATATCAGCCACGATGACATTATGCAGGTAGATCATGTTACCTAGCTTCAACTCCATCTCCTTCTCACCACGGATGGGTATGCGCTGACCAGTGGCTGTCACCAAATTAATGCGTTCTCGGTTGTATGCGGAGTCCCCAAGGAACTGACTTATAAGTTGGGAACTCACAACCGTGCGAGAGGCTCCAGTGTCTATGGTCAGTTTACACGGCGTTCCATTGACCTCGCCTTGATGATTAGGCTGTTCCCATCATGGATTTGTGAGATCGAAATCCTTGGGGCTCTTTTAACATCAGCCAGCACTCTCCAGTTTCCTTGCTGCTGCTGGGCGGTGCTGTTGCTGTGAGATCGATCACCTTCCCTTTCTGCAATTCGCTTAGGGCAGCTGGATCGAAGATGGCCCCTTTCCCCACAGCCGTAGCACCTAGGGCTGTATTCTTTATTGCGGTCGCGAACTGTAGCTGCTGCAACCTCCCTGACGCGATGGGAACGATGATCCTGCCGCACGGCTTCCACCTCCAGTGCATGGGTCAAGGCGTCCTTAAGCGTTTCGTGGTGCCCGAGCCTCACAGCAGCTCTGACTTCAAGGTCGCGGATGCCGTCGATGAATGTCTGCACCAGGTTCCCTACAATGAGCGCAGGTACAGATTGGTATGCTTTTCGAACCAGCTTCTCCACCTCAAGGCCCCACTGCTGTAGGTTTTCGTTAATGCGTTGCTCGCGATCTTTGAGCTGCGCACGAAAGACGTGTTCCAGGTGAGCGTCGCCATATCTCGCTTCCAATGCCTCTAGAAGCTGCTCGTAAGTCACTTCCTTACCGAGAGCTTCCAGAAAAGTTAAGGCCTGTTCGCGGAGGCCTAGGGGGGGAGCAGTCATGGCCTGACTTTTATTCCAGCTGTTCGTCTTCATGACAGCCTCGAATTGGATTTTGTAGGCCGACCAGGAAGAAGTCCCGTCGAACGGCGGCACTTTGAATCCACGTAGCGAAGGTGTTGTAGCTACCACGGGAGCTGTAAAACTTCCGACAGGCGGTTATCATATTGAGCAACCTTATCCTTCACCTCCCTTATCTCTTTCCCGAAGGTAGCGTGAAGGTCCTTCATGAGAAGTATCTGCTCTTCCTTATTGCGTTTGAGCTGCTCTTTCAACCGACGGCCCTGTTCCTCCTGTCGGCGAGCCTGATCCTGCTGTATCATCATCAGAGCACCTAAGTCAGGTGCTGTAGATGCAGGAGCTGATGACGGACCGGCCTCCGTGGTCAGCAGCTGGCCCTCCGATGTTTGCGGCGTTGTACCACCAAATCGTCTGGTCCGTCTCCTGTTGGTGTTGACTTCGGGTACGGACACCCTCCGTGTCGTCTTTAGGTAAAATCGGCATATTTGATCCCACTTCTGACACCAATTGTTACGAGCTTGGGGTTCGAGGCAATTAGAAACTGCCTATTGAATTACCAAAATTTACACTTTAATTACACAACACTAATTATAATCTAAAACTACACAATTATAAAACACAATTGTCACTTTGGTTCGCAATTATTTCGCTTCGAAGTATTCTCTTGTATCGCCAATTCAATACTGCCTCGGTCGTGGTCTATACCGGCCTTATATAGGGCCTCAGATAGTTTCCAGAACCTTCTAGTGAATGATATGTACTCGAACATTCTACTGAAGAATGTTCGAGTACATATCGGTCCCGAAATTTCTGGAAGGATCTTGACTCTCCTAGTTCTGCTACTCGACACTAGAGGGCGCTAGTATAACTAGTGTTGCCATGTACAAGACATTTATAGTGGCGCGTAACAATATGTATTGACCGCTGACGCTGTGCCTGGCGTTCAGACGCCAATCGGTATGTATACGCTGAAGTCGAACGTCACGTATAGCATTTAATAGGAGACCGTAGCCCTGCTACGCCAAGTAGTATAGTGAGACACCTCGCGACATTTTTTGACTCGAGCCCAAAAAACTGACAGTGATCGAAAGCAGGCCAAAGCGAAGCGAGTTTGCACGAAGCGTGTCGAAGTACATACATCTCTACACTATTCTTCTCGCCCAACTTCGATCAACTTCGCAAGTAGTGTAGTGGGGTCTTTTTGTTTGTCGAGAGATAGGAGACCGCGATTACAGGCAAAATAAACATGGCCCCAACAATGCGGTATGTTAGTACCTCTGATTGTTTGTTGGGAAGCTGAACACCAAGGTTAGCTAATATAGAGTTACAGTTAAGATACGTTAGCACCGCTAAATATGGCAATCAAGAAACTGAATAGCCGCGGTTACGAGTAAAATGCAGCTGATATGGACAAAACGGTGCGCTAGTACTTCTGAATGTTATTTTCAACTTTAAGTGAGGTACACGCGGCTCGGAAGATGCAATCCTTAGGACCCCTGAATATGGTTGTCAAGATGCTGGACGCCGCAGTCACAGTTGAGATCACGAAACAAATACAAAGAGGACGTGTTGTCATTAAATTTCACTATGTAACAACGCGTGACAATTTGCGGGGTGAGGGAATGTTAAGCCTCGCCCACTTTACACTATCTATATCTACCGATAAATAGTAAAACTACTCGCGTCGTTCCATATCGATGTTGCAATGTAATTTAGCTATCTTGAGGATAGATGGCGGCCTGTTCACAAAATGATTATAAAAACTATAAAAATAATATTTTGGTGATTAAAAATTCTTTACGACTAAATGTAAAAAAACCTTCGTATGATTATTTTACCAATACTGAGCTCTACGTACCTTTATATTTTTAGTTCCCATGACACAAAGTGTCGCCATCTAGTGTCGAATATATTGAATTACATTTGAAAGCCGATGCAGATTTTTCTAGAACCTTTTTAATAAATTAGGTATAAAATTACTTACAAATGAAATGTAATGCCATCCACAGCATCAGAGGGACTATCCGACTAGTTTTTACACAATAAAACGCAACACTTCATCCTTTTCTTCTTAATACTACGAAAATACACCGATTTGCGATTTTCGACACATAAGCACACAGGACGAACGCTGACAGTATACTAAGTAAAGCCACGCCCACTGTGATGACGTCAGGACCTAGTTAGAATCACAGTGCACAGTTGCTTATGCCGTCTCCTCTTTGTATTTGCTTCGCGGTATTGAGATACTCGCGACCCAGACGACGTGGTACGTTAGCACCTCTAAATGAGTTTGTTAAGAAGCTGGACGTCGCGGTAACAGGCGTGATGCACGCGATCCGGAGCACGCGGTTCGTTAGTGCATCTGAATGTTGTATTTGTAAAGTGGCTAGTCACCGTGATTACAGATACACAAAAGTAAAGTTGCAGCCTATTTACGTCCCACTGCTGGGCACAGGCCTCCTCTCATTTCTGAGAGGGTTTTAGGGCAAGGAAATGTCCGCCGCGCTGCCCCAGTGCGTGTTGGCGAACTTCACATGTCTTCAAAATATATTTTTTTCTTATTTCTCAGACATGCAGGTTTCCTCACGATGTTTTCCTTCACCGCCAAGCACGTGGTAAATCAGCACTTAAAATTGCAATTAACAATTTCATTGGTGCCGGCGGGGATCGAACCCGGGTTGCTCGAGTACTGTGAAGCTTACAGCGAGCGCTAACCATCTGAGCTACCACGGCTACACAATACTCAAACGTTAATTAATATAAGCGTAGTCAGGATGGAGGTGGCAGGGTTAGAAGTAAGAAACTTTTTTATTAAAATACCCAAACCAAGGCTTTATAGAAAATATGACCTAAAATCGAAGTATCTATAAACATGTTCATAAATAATTTCTTCCTTAACGACATGAACGTCGAAACAAGAACTACTACTCTGTGACGACAAAACTACTTGTCAATTCGTACACAGTTATTTTCACTTTTGTGAAATCTTTAATACAGTTTACTTTTACGTTGACAGAAGAAGAAATCCCGCAGTTCCCGTTCCCGACAGTGAACCTGTCTCTAGTAGCGCCCTCGACGCCCGCACAGGCCGTAGACGCAACCAACAACTCCGACATGAGCATGAGCTTCGACTGAATAATATGTACGAAATATAAATCTAGTTTATTTTGTTTGAGAAACAGAACAGTGTCAAACACTTTTTATTGTAAAGACACTGGATTTGAAAATATGTACCTACCAAATATAAAGTTGATGGAAATTCAACTTTTTGTAAAGCACTTAAAACGCTTTAAGCATTATAAAAATGGTGTATATTAAAAACATCAAACAATATTTGTATTTTATTTTAAACGATTTTTTAGAACTTGTCATCACTATTCGCTATCATTACAGCCCATCAAAAGTCCACTGCAGAACAAAGACCTCCCGCATCGATTAACTTATATGGGGGATATCAATAAAATACAATTCATACGGTAGGCAAGCTGGTTGGCAACCACAGTTTTTAGTTATTTTTTATTCAGCTGTTATCAGGAAGATACTGCTGCCCATCTCCTGGTTCAGTTTCTCTGTGTGTCCTCTTACGACACTCACGGGCCGATATGGGGTAGTGAATATTCTTACACTGCCACTACACTGTTCTTTTGCGTTTATTCGAATTTAAAGTAATTTCGATAGAAATTACTTACTTCGAGCGTTCTTGATGTTTGAACCACTTGTTGGGTCACATTTGGCATCTGTCGGTTTTAGCTTCATATTTAGGTGAGTTGCTTATAAATATCGATTAAATTGAATGCATCGATATGGTTTTCAAACACTTCTTGCTTATGTAATTGAGTCCCATTAGAATCTCTGTCCCATTATTATATTCTATCATTTTAAGGAAATAAAACAATTAGGTTCATAGTTGAACAAAAATGCTTTTATTTAGTCGAATTATCTGAATTTAAGTGGTAGGGTCATGCTGCTTACGTGGTAGAGCCATGCTGCAGCTATATCAATAGTATAGTTGTAGCACGAATGGATCAGCACGACCGGGGAATGACCACGCTCTCGCATAATACTAGCGTAAAATATCAGCATAACAATGCTGTGTTGTTTCTTATGGTGAGTGTGGAGAACCGGAGACTCTTTTAACTGGTATGAGGCATTCCATCTTAGTCCTCACGGCTGATAACAAATCTGCACTTTGATTCGTAATCGAGCATAGATGTTTATGGGCCACAGCAACCACTTCAGGTGGACTGCGTGCTCGTTTGTCACCCTCATTCTATAAAAAAAAAATTGTAATTTGATTATGAATCCATTTTCAACAATTTTCTCTACTCTAACATCTCGTTCATAATCATGTAAGATTATTTTCCGTTTTCTCGACGACCTTTCTCCAGTTTTCTCTAGTGACTTCTGCACACGCATTTTGTAGCAGTGTCGGCATTTTTAACACATTTTTCCAGTGCTGACAGGTGGCTCAGAATTGTTGCATGATCAAAGCAATGATTTTGTAATTCAGCATGACCTATTTATTATTATTTATTCATTGTATTTAACTTTTCGACATGAATAAAAAATCGTTCTATCTTTGGGTAACACGTACACATATATATCGACATAACATTGTAACGACGTACAATTTATTTAGAATAATGATTGTGTATTATGGTTTAAAATGGTTTATTAGTCAAAGGAAATCGAGAAGTAGTAATCGATAGACGTTTTCATTATTAATATAAATATATATTTAGAAAATTGATAAAGGTTGTCCAAATGTGCCGTTCTAATTTTGAGAAAATAAATAATATTGTTTGGCCGCCGTTACAAGTTTATTTTGATAAAGTGTCAAATATGACATATTATGACGGCACTACTCTTTACCTGTACATATTGTTACAAATGTTTTAAAACTTGACGACGACAAGAGTAATCGGAATAGTAATTTTGAAATCGTATTTTTAAAAATAACTTTTGCCTGAACACCAAAAATGAGATTAAAAAGCTTATCTTAATTTATTATTCTGCATCATCAGGCCGTAATAGTCCACTCATGGATTTAAGCCTCAAACCACATTTTCAAACTATAGCTCTTATAGGTACAAACCTTGGCCAGAATATTATTTTTGTACGTATTTGAATGGGTACCTAAATGGTTTGGATTCATGACTAGAGCCAGTAGGTGGCACTGTTGTCGATATCCAGAAATCACCCGTGCGAAGCCAGGGCGAAATAATCAGCTTTGGTCGCGGGACATTCTCATTTATCCTATAATATATTCTAAATATTTATATTATATAATTCTACTGTCTGTGTGCATGTGACTGAACTCCTCATAAACGGCTTGACCGATTTTGATGAGATTTTGTGTGTGTATGTGATTCAGTTGATTCGATTTACAATTGGACTCTATAGAAATCACCCGTGTGAAACCGGGGCGGGCCGCTATTATAATATAAAATTATATTATCCACCATATATAAACTAGCTAACATATTATGTTAGGTTCCTGTACTTTATAACTCTGTGATGCTAAGTCTATATCACAAACTAATACGAAGTACGTCTATATCAATATTAGCCTATAGCACAAACTAAAAGCATAAAAAACTAAGACATTTAATATGGTAAATGTGACAAAAACATCTCTACATAATTCAAACATTGTGGGTAATTCTAAGGTACAATATAAATCAACGTTAGTAGTGTAAGTCTCTCTATTTCCTGCTCAGGCTAATCCCTTCCTATAACTAGATGGTTGTTCTATATTGTGTGGTCCACAAATCGTGTATTTAGTTGCTTTGTTTTTATCCACTTTTCCACATTTCCACCTAATAACCGCTAACTCCTTTCCCACCGAAAAGCCTCAAGACAAGGTGTGACAGACCAAAGACCGGACATTGGCAGAATTATTGTGACATAACCACAATACCAAGGAATATATTGTTAAAAAAAATAGTATAAGTCTTTGAAGATATTTGAAGTACCCAATCTATTATTCTTATTTAATTTTTATATATGGCTTCCAACTCGTAAATGTTTTTCATACTCTTGTTTCCGATACCGCGGATTGTTGAATGCACAAATCTCATACCAATAACAAATACAGATATCACTATTTAACGTAGAGATTTATGTTACCTTTGAACACTACCTAGTTTTTCCATTAAACACTATGGAAGTTCAAATGTTTATTACTTAACAGTGACTGTCCGGTTTTCAGATACAATAGTAAGAAAATAGCAATGAATTATATGTAATGTACGGGACAGCGAATGGGTAAATTACACTTAAATAGTTACCAGTATTCAGTTATTACAATAGGTTGTTATATTGAGTACATGCGGCGAGCGCGATCTGTCAAACCAACTAATATTCTTTCAACACAGATTGCTTGAAATTTGCAAACAGCATAAGGGTGCTTTTCCACTAGAGATGTGCTATGCACGTTGCTATGGATGCGTTTGATATCCACCAATCATATTCATTGGTCCATATATCTTAGCACTGGCGGAAACAGGTTCAACTAATGCGTGCTATGGATTCATGCTATAGATGGTCGCGAGTGGTGTAGCTACGTGCAGAGCAGAGCTCCTTGTGCCTTCCCTACTGTAGAGACATCGCATAGCACGAGCTGCGAGTCTTGCTCGCACAGCTACAACGCGGCGGCGCATCATCATAGCATATCTTACTCGCCCCTCTACATATGGAAACGGTCACATAGTTTCATAGCTTAGCTTTCACATTTTTTTATAGAATAAGGATGACAAACGAGCACACAGTCCACCTGATGGTAAGTGGTTGCTGTGGCCCATAGACATCTACATCTATCTTCGTTTGCGAATTAAAATGCAGGTTTGTTGTCAGCCGTGAGAACTAAGATAGAATAACTCTTTTCCAGTAAAATGGGTCTCCGGTTCTCTACACTCACCATAGGAAACATTAAGCTACTATTTTACGTTGGTATTCAGCTGGGTGGTCCTTCCCCGGTCGAGCAGACCAATACGTGCTACATCTATATTACGAATACAGCTGCACCATGGCTCTACCACGTAAAAAAAAATAATGAAGTTGTTCACACTTATCAGACACCGTATTTGCTTTGCCACATCTCTACGTCCGTAAAAAAAAATCGTTCCACCATACTTGCTCATAGTCTAATGTCGTTCGCCTATGGTAAGTATTGCGCTGTTCACATTATGTCGGATGGAGTGCCCGGCAACCCTCTATATCGCGACGCTCACGAAGAGTTGTTGTGTTTTTATTGTACCAAACATATTGTAAGCACGTTTGGTGTTTCGTAATAATGGAAAAAGATAATATAAACCCTGAAGCTTTGATCAAACTAGTTCAGGAAAGAGATGTTCTTTGGGACAAAAAAATTTTTCCTGTAGCTTCAGATTCAATCGGGTCCGATAACCGGCTCAGTGTGAATAGACACGCAGACACCAGATTAAATAATTAAACATTTTGTACATAAGGATAACTCAAACAGGTCAGACCTAGATCATGATGCAATTTATATGAGACCACATGAGAAGCACTAGCTTTCAAATAAAAAAGAAGTATCGAAATCGGTTTACGTAGAAAAAAGTTATGAGGAACATATAAAAAAAACATACGGTTGAATTTGGTACCTCCTTTATGAAGTGTGCTTAGACTTTTTTCTGCAGACTTCCAAAAAGGAGACGGTACTCAATTCGACACGTATGTGTTTTTACTGGGTGGACCGATTTCGATGATTCTTTTTTTATATGAAAGCTGATACTTCTCGTGTGGTCCCATATGAATTTGATCAAGGTCAGACCAATAGTTTGAGTTATTCTTAATAACTTATATTGAAGTCGGCTGTACAAAATTTTTAATTTTAAATTATTTTATAGATCTTTAGACTAGAGCACTGTAGAGCGTAATGCTATTCGGTAACTAAACGCATCATAGCCGTACTAGTGTCTCGTGAGATTTGCTCTATATTACAAAAATAACTATACAAAACATGTTTTGTGAAAGTTTTTCTTATATATGTAGCATAAGTGTGAAAAGCGAGCGAGAAGCACACCGCTCACCTGATGGTAAGTGGATGCTGTGGCTCATATACATCTACATCTATCCTTGATTTAGGCTCAGTTTACGGTGCGGCGGAATGAAATAGAAGCTAATTTTTGCTACGAAATTCTACGGAAGACGCGTGACTTCTTTTTTGGCTCATATCTTATTTCTTTCTTTAAAAAAATAACGTTACCTCCACACTAGGATTTTCTGTATCGCGGGGGCAGTTTACATACATTTAGATTTCACAACGACAAACATCCAGAACCGGAACAATTATTTGTAGACCATACAAATACTTGTTCCGTGCGGGATTCGAACCCGCGACACTTGTGGTGCTGCAACTTATTGCTAAGCCACTGCTCCACGGAGCCGTCGTAGTTTGCACATTACACAATCAACATAAAATTTATTTGACTATGGTACAATTTCGGGAATGTAAATTAAGCCTAAGAATCAAAGTGCTGATGATGATGATGAGAGATGAGACGAGTTGTAACCTCTGAGGATTAAGGTAATAATGCCACGCATCCAGTATAAAGGGTCTTCGGTTCTCTACACTCCGCTGTTTTTATACTGGTATTCTGTGAGAGTGTGGTCCTTCTCCGGTCGAGACGATCCATTTATGTTAACAAACATATCTGCAACATGGCTCTAACACGTATAAAACATACAACTGGTATTTTGCAGATATCGTAGGCAATTTATATATGTACATATATTACACATTGGCAACATCTAGGGTCTGTCAAAATTATTTATTGGTAACGTAAATAACCTGTTCCTTCGAGTATTCGAACCCGCAAGTGCGAAGCGCCGCAGCCTTTACGCTAAGCCAGTGTGCTACTTACCATCATGTGGGATAGAATTAAAGGGAATTGTTAAAGGATAAATAAGGGAATAGTTTCAAGACCGCATTTTATGGCAATCTGTGATTGCATAAAACGCAGCCTTGACTTGCGTTGGAGGCGGCATAGGTTCAAAGTAGACTTGTGTAGGAGCTGTAATGATGACAGTGATGATGAATAGTTTGAAAGATGTAATTAGGATAATGTGAACAAAAACGTAATCATTAAATATAGATTTATTTAGCAATAACAATTACATACTTCGTATAGTTTAAAATCAAACAAGCTTTAAAATCAGTATTTCATATTTGATCATACAAAGTTCTTTAAAAATCACTGATTACAGGTTTTTAAAAGCCTCTTTAAAACTTTAAAAATGCTAATATTAACAATCGCTACAATTTGCAGCCATCTTAAAATTGATTAAAATCTCATATATCACATGTATCCTAAACGCTACAAGTATGTTATACAATTTTTAATTAAATACTGAAAAAAAAGATTCTTAAATAATCAATAAATAATCAACTTCAAATTAGATTTTAACTAAGACTTAATTGACACATGATTTTGAGTATCTAGATAATTATTAACAATTCTATAACAATAAAATCTACCGGTACAAAATGAAAAACAATCAAATGAAAACGGTCTAAAGAGATGACGCCAGCGTAAACATTCTTCAGAAATAGGGACAATTGATCAGTATCAGTGCAAGACCCAGGATTCAGCGGCAACTTCGCTTGCCGTGCTTGGTTCCAGCTCGCTGGTGCCGCTCGATCCCGACAAGGGAGTTCCTACAACAAATTCTACATTTAGGTTATCCAGTACAGTAAGTACAGTAGAATTAGTGTGAAAACGATGACACAGTCCACCTGATGGAAAGTGCAGGCTATGTGGTTTTCGGTTAAGGATCAGATCGATTAAGAATCAAAATGCAGATGCGTTGTCACCCGTGAGGACTAAGATGGAATGCCTCGTTTCCAGTAAAAAGGATCTCTGGTTCTCTACACTCACCATACGAAACACAGCAGCGTTAAGCTGCTATTTTACGCTGGTATTGTGTGAGAGCGTGGTCCTTCCTCGGTCTTGCCGACCCATTCGTGCTACAACTGATATAGCTGCAGCGTGCAGGATTAGAAGTCTAAGCTGTCCTGGCTCTAGAACAAGGCTACGATACGATATACAAGAAGACTTTTCGCAGAGTACTTGCACTTGCTGGTGTTAGATTTATTTTGATTAGAGTAAGTTGATCTTGTAATAGGCGGTGTAAAATATCTATTACCCAATATCATCCTGTGGGTGTCATTAGAGGATCACCTCTATCAAGAAGTGAGACTACAGACTGTACTGTACAGAAGATGGACAGCAGCATCCCCCCACCAATAATTTAAAATTAAGAAAAATGTACAACAGACTTTAATATAAATTGATTAAGAATAATTAAAAAACTCTTGGTCAGACCTTGATTAAATTCATATGGAACCACATGAGAAGCACTAGCTTTCAAATAAAAAAAGAATCATCGAAATCGGTTCACCCAGAATAAAGTTACGAGGTAAATTTTACGAGGAACATAAAAAAAATAGTCGAATTGAGTACCGCCTCCTTTTTGAAGTCTAGTAGAAAAATGGTTGCCAGCCCGCCACGGGTGGTAACTGGCATAATCCTCAATGTGGTAAGGCAGTGTTCAGCAGTGGCCTTTTATATGATATGTACGAGTAAAAGATAATTAATATAATCATTAGTTACTTTGCAGAAATCCAATACGACAGTGGTGTCCTTTCCTAGTGCAGTGGTCCTGGGAGTAATGGTGTTAGGATTAGTGATGACGGGGATAGTGCACCACCTACCACCTATATATACAAAACGCACCTTCACTGGGTCTGCCAGTGCCGTTGCTGCCGCCGTTATAACAAGTTTGGTCGGGTGCGTGGCGGCGGTGCGAGCGGAGCGGCGGGGCGGGGAGCGGCGCGGGCAGCGGGGCGGGCGGCGCGGCGGGCAGCGGGGCGTGCGGCGGCGCGGCGGCGGGCGGCGAGCGGCGCAGCACGGCGGGCGCGCCGCCCTGCGCGCTCTTGGAGTTGCGCATCAGCTGCTTGTGGCTCACGCTCTGGTGCTGCCACGCCCAGCACGACCGGCAGAAGTATCTGCAACAACACGCCACGTCAACCAACACTTGCTACCAACTGGATCCCCAAATGAAAAATTATTAATATTTTTGATCAATATTATATTATCAACGTGCGTCATTTCTATATCCACCCTTACACTAAGTATAGAGATTTTGACAAATGACTTCTTAATTGGACATACCGCGCGTTATAATCTAGACGTCATCATAATATATAATATATAATATGATAAACACGGTCTAAAACCGAATTAAAAATACTAATTTAATCTATTTGATATTTACTTTGACAATTTGATTTAGAAGTGGCTTTGGTTTATTTATGAACAAAAAAGCAGTCTTGTTTTATATATTAATTATAAAAATAAATAAAAGGGTGATAAGCTTGTTCATACCAGTTCTAACAATAATAAGGAAAAAAAAACCATCTCTTGGGTTAACTAATAATAATATTTTTGAAAACATTGAAAATCAACATCTTAGATTACATTAGACAAAGCCCTCACTAATTCCCAATTTTGCAACTTCAATTTGAACATTATAAGGTACGTGAGGGTGATATGGTCATCAGATTAATACGGTCACTTTCTTAATAACTCCAAACTACAGCGTTGTTTACAAAGATTGCTTTGTGATACGATAGCGATAGCTCTTCATCAGTCAATCAAATAATAAATAATTTTGACAGCCGACATTATAATAATAATTTTAGTAGTTTTCATTATTTTTCATTAAAACCGAATGAAAATACTATATATAGAGATCTTAGTTGAGCCCACATATGCGAGTAATGTGCGCACTACTACAGTGAATCTTAATTTTAAAAATTGAATAAGAATACGTACCTAAAGCATACCGGCTCACGACAGAAGTACGGACCCTGCTGCAAATTGCATAGAGAGCACATCGAGTCCTCAAGATACGGATCTACTTGAATCTGTAAAAAAATTACATCATTACTGGCTTTGTTAATTTAGAGGGTTATTTTTCAAAGAGTAGCCAAATTTTAAAATACGAGTAAATAATTATATTTGAAACTCGTCCCAAATTGAATATGATGTATGGGCAACAACGTTTTCGCCTATCTATCGACCCTTACGAATGTGTGCGTGCGCAGTAAAGTTAGTTAAAATAATGCATTACCAGGCATTTTGAAATTAAAAGAAATAATTTAAATTAAAAAATTTTGTTCAACCGACTTCAATATAATTTATTCAGAATAATTTAAAAACTATCGGTAGGAACCTTTATCAAACTTATATGGGAACACATAAGAAGCACCAGCTTTCAACTAAATAAAAGAATCATCGAAATCGGTTCACCCAGAAAAAAAGTTAACAGTCTAATTGAGTACCTCCTCCTGTTTGAAGTCGGTAGAAGAAGGACAGAATGTTAGAGGCTTTTTTGTATTAAATTTTCTTGATTTACAAAGTACTAAAATTTACAAAATATTACTTATTCTAAAACTTCTCTGCAAATTTGGCCGGTTATTGCAAAGTAACCCTGTATAGGAGCAGAGTAGTCCGACTTCTGACTCCATATTATACCCCGGAATATGTGCGTAAGTGTTACTAGATTTAATTTTTTTTCGTGTTTTAACTCAAATTTTTACTGGGTGAACAGATTTCGACGATTCTTTTTTATTTGAAAGCTGGTGCTTCACATGTGGTCCCATATAAATTTGATAAAGGTCTGTCCGATAGTTTTTGAGTTATTCTTAATAATTTACATTGAAGTCGGTTGTACAAAATTTTTAATTTTAAATCATTCATAACGCGTACAACAAACTAGTATTATTATTTGTCATTTTGTCTTCTCGCCCAATAATCGCCCAATAATTGTTAGTGAGGAGTCTTCAAGGCAAAAGTAAATAGTCTTTCGTTACGGCTAAGGTGATATACGATTTACCATCTAAGGTCTACCAGCACGTGATTTTAAATACTAGCTTATCTATACAAATAAAGACAAATCAAGTTTGTAATGTTAAACAGCTTTTTATTAAATGTTGCAGAGGTGAACGGCATAGTCGGGAAGGGTCGCCCTAGGCGAAAGTTTATCGACCAAATTGGCGATATATTAAAAATGGGCCAAATCAAGAGTACCTTTAACCGACGAGCGTGTATGCGTAGGTATATGGATGTGGAAGAAGCGAGAGAGGTGTGTCAGGATCGTGCCAAATGGAAGTCCATAATCTCTGCCTACCCCTCTGGGTGACAGGCGTGAGTGTTTATGTATGTATGTATGTATTATTAAATGTATATGAACGTATATATGGCACTAAAAACAAAAAACAATTTTTCAAATTTTTGTCTGTCTAATCTCCGAAACGGCTGGACCGATTTTGGCGAGACTCACTGGCAGATAGCTGATGTTATAAGGAGTAACTTAAGATACTTCTCTTTTAGAAAAAGAACAAGGGTTCCGCGCAAAAAAATTAAAACCATGAAATCTCAGTAAATTCCTCCACGCGGATAAAGTCGCGAGGGGGAGCCTGAATTAAGTAAAAAAATACAAGGATAGGTTCCCTTGGTTTGAAGTTTGCGAAAGTACCCAAAGACTTCAGTAATCACTATCTTTTGGATCAATTAAGTGCTAATAAATTCCTACTGGTGATAATGTGCTAGTGAATATGACATTTTTAAACAGAAACGAAACCTCCGCACTTCTAATCAGTTAAAATGATACAGGTTTGCCGTGTGGTGGACATCAGAATATCCATCGCTCCATATCTCTGTGTTACGAGAAACCTATGAGAAACTCCCAGAAAGATCACAAGACTTCCGATAAAGGGCGGTATAAACATCACTTTTAAAGATTCAACAAGACTGTCGGATCAATGAAGAAAGTACATAAAATCTTTTGAGATTATGAAAATTCTCTTACTTGTTACTTACATCACTTGTTCTGCTCTGGGCTTGAAACGGCCGATGAAGAATCAATTTCTACTAACCGTTTTTGTAAATTTGTCAGTGCTTATCTCGACGTACGCCGCAGAGATTGCTTTCACGTAAGAGTGCACGTTGTTGAACGTAACACGACCCGAGCCAATCGGGTACTTATTCTTGTCGGTGTCGATGCCTGTGAAGTTAAATTAAAATTAAAAATGTTGTACCACAGACTTCAATATAAATTATTAAGGATAACCCAAACTGTATTGGTCAGACCTTGATCAAATTTATATGGGATAACATGTGAAGCATCAGCTTTCAAATAAAAAAAGAATCACCGAAATCGGTTCACCCAGTAAAAAGTTATGAGGTAACACACATAAAAAGAAAACATACAGTCTAATTGAGTACATTCTCCTTTTTCAAGTCTGGAAGAAAAACCACGGTTTATCTAGAGTAGGATCTTTGAAGTATATTTATACTTTTTGATATAAGTAATTTTTTTTATCATTTGCGAATGGACTAAGGAATACACAATCACGCGATTTAAATAAAGTATAAATATTTATTTCAAGAACTATCCGTTTCCCATCTTCATTATAATTTTTTTTAAATTTAACCTTTTTAATAATAAAAAATAAAAGTCAATCCACATTTGATGAAGATATTACGTGTAACATAAGTACATTAAAGAAAAGCCGTGGTAGCTCAAGCCAAGTGTTAATTACTCAGTACGCGAATTACCCTTGTTCGATCCCCGTGGGCACCAATGAAATTGTCAATTATAATTTTAAGTGTTGATTTATCACGTGCTTAGGAGTAATTGAAAACATTTTTAAGAAAACTGCAAGTCTAAAAATTAAAAGAAATTATTACGAAGACATGTGAAGTTCACACACCGCCATTGGGGAGCAAGGTTTTTTCAGGAGTAGTACGAATTAAGGCTGTAATACACATTTTACCAATTCTTTGCTAAGGAGAGAGCACAAAAGCAAACTGTCTTAATTGTAAACCTGTCAAAAAACAAGACGGTAAATGTGTACCTGCGTAGACGACGCCGGAGAAGAGGTCGTTCATGATGAGTGCGAGCGCGTAGGCGCTGAGCATGCCGTGCAGCGCGCCCACGAACACCGTGCGCGCCGGCTCCAGGCGCGCCGACTGCGCGCGCACCCAGTTCGAGTCGCCCACCGCCCACGGGATCACCTGCACCTGCCGCACGCACGCGTCACACGCCGCCCCACTCGCTCCAGTGCACGCTACGGTCGCACTGCTGCGGATGGCTCCACTCGATCGCGGAACCACAATACCGACATACACGACAAAGCAAATTGCCTTTTTTATAGAATATGGGTGACAAACGAGCACATAGTCCATTTGATGGTATATGGTTGCTGTGGCCCATAGACGTCTACATCGTCAATCCTCGTTTGATAATCAAAATGTAGATGCGTTGTTAGCTATGAGGGCAGAGATGGAATGCCTTGTTTCTAGTAAAAAGGGTCTCTCGGTTTTCTACACTCACCATACGAAACACAGCAGCATTAAGCTATTATTTTTACGCTGGTATTCAGTAAAAACGTGGTCCTACCCCGGTCGAGTTAACCCATTCGTGTTGCAACGTAATATAGCTGCAGCATGGCTCTATCACGTACCAAATCGACTTATGCCCAGATTTAAGCTGGTAAAAGAACTTTAGCACCTAGAGATTAAAATTTATTTTGGTAGAGTTGTAAAGGTATGCAGTAATACTCTAATATACCCTGTAACTATCCCGCTGTATACAACCTCTTATTTTCCATCGTCATCCCATATCACAAGTGTTGTAAATTTTGATTTATGTCCGATATGTACCAGAATTTAAAAAAAACTCACACAGAGCATAAGATTTGTTTCGTGCATTCGAGCATAAAAATTATGCTGGAAAATGAGTTTTATTACTAGGAATATAAAAGTTTAGGCTGGAAAAGGAATCATAACTAAGGCTATAAAACTTGTTAAGACTATCAGAATTAAGTTGACAGGAACCATATTACTTAAATCATAAGACTTGTTTATTCAGTGTATTTTAAATGTCAGAAATGCACAAGAATTAGGTTGGATAATGAACTGTACTACGAAAATTACTTTACTACTACTTCTATATGAATCGGTGATAAGCTGGTAAAGGAACCTTATGACTAAGTGGATAAGAGTTACCTCCTTGGTGCGCATGTTGTGAGAGGCGATGCGGTAGTACCAGTCGTGTCCGTCGCGGCGCGCGGCGGCCAGCAGCGCGCGCACGCGGCGCTCGCTCTCGAACGTCACGTACGCGTAGCCGCGCGGCGCGCTCCCCTCCCCCGCGCCCGCGCCACCCGCACCGCCCGCGCCGCCCCCCTCCCGACCCGGCCACTCCACGCTGCGTTACATAACATTACCAGTCACAATACAGAATTAAACTTATTCCCCTGGCCGCCTACCTCCCAGCGCGGCCACTAACAAGCATTACTAATCAGTTCAAAAAGAAACAAGTCAAACTTAAACTCTCCCCCGTGCCACTGTTCTTACCCGCCACTCTACCCGACGTGGCCACTCCACGCTGCCCAACGCTACATACCAACATTAGCAGTCTTAGTACAAAAAGTAGCTTTATTTGCCTTTGGCAATAAGCTTAGAGTCCTTTGATCACGATTATGAATCGGACGGAGCGCTAAAAGTTGTCTTAAGTTAAGACAAATAGTTTATAATTAGCGTCAGATTTAAACTACAGTCAGTATTTAACACCCAGATCCATAAACATTTTAACTAACCTATTTTTATATAGAGATATTTACATTATCGTGTGTAGGCGCCGTTAAAATACCCGTTACCTTTATCCCGTGGGTGTCTTAAGAGACGACAGAAGAAAATGGAAATATCAAAAACTGTTGATGCCAATCTCCGCCTGGCTGAGCATATTTACTACGGCAAATATGCCTACAAGACTTAATATAAAGAGAAACAAATACGTCATATCATTAATATGAAATATTTTGTTGGATTAATAAGCTTACTTAAGTAGACCAAATCCACAAGACATTAAGTTTGAAAAAAATTAAACCCAAAACCGGCAACGTAGCAGCTTAACACTGATCATCATCATCATCATTACAGCGCTTCACGAGTCCACTGCTGAACATAGGCCTCCCCCAAAGAATGCCCCTGAGTCACCTGCATCCATCAACTTCCTGCATGTCTTACCAGGTAGTCACTCCATCTAGTGGGGGAGGAGGGGGTACACTTTGATCACATGTTAATGTAAATACATTAGTTTAAAGAGCACTTATGTTATAGCAATAAAATGTAGAGTGACAATTGGTTTTAAAAAAAGCACACGACTCCTGCACTTCCATAAGAACTAACTGCATAATACTACTTTTACACGCTTGTAGCTAATGAGAGCTTGATCTCCGGTCAGATCCATTCGTGCTATAGCCATAATATACTACAGAATGGCTCTACTGTATGAAACAATGTTAAGCTGTAACTTCAAATAAATAACAAAGCGAAACGTTAATACAAACTGACCGTAGCGGGTAGAAGTGGCGGAGCGAGTGCATGAGAGCCTGCTCGGTGATGTCCCAGGGCAGGCCACCCAGGAACACCTTGGGAGAGAAGGCGGCCGCGGACTCTGCGCCCGGCTCCGGCCCGCGCGGCGGCAGCGCGCCGCACCAGCGCAGCGCCTCGCCCTCCGCGCCGCGCCGCACCACCCCGCCTGCCACAACCACAACCACTCTCTACTCCTCACATTCACTCATGGATTTATTTATTATAAGGCACACTAGCCATCAAACGCAGAGACGGTTATTAAACTTCTAATAGAGTACGTGAGGGTAATATGGTCATCCGGTTAATATGGTCATCCGGTTAATATGGTCACTTTCTTATAACTCAAAAACTACAGCCTAATTTGCATAGATGGCTTTGTGATACGATGGCACTTCATCACTTATTCAAATAGAGGGTGAAAAGGTCGCGGCTTTATCGAAGCCATTTTGACAGTTGATATTATAGTAAGTACGTGAGGGTAATATGGTCACCTTAGCTTTATCGCCCTATAGTACCAAAATTAGGCGGAGAACAGACAAAAACACAAAGTCGTATACTATAACTAATATATTACGAAAAAAATAGCAAACAAGCTTTGGAAATGATTAGGAACACTTCGAAAAATCTACTTAAAAAACTAACTACACTACACAATTCAAAAATTGACTAAAATATTGACAACAATATCAATTGTCAAAATGGCGTCGATAAAGGAGCGCCTTTTAGACCCTTTATTATTTGATAGACTGATCAAGAGCTATCGTATCACAGAGCGTTCTATGCAAACGACGCTGTAGTTTTTGAGTTATAAGAAAGTGACCATATTAACCGGATAACCATATTACCCTCACGTACTATTTAAGTCCATTTTTCGATGTGTTGCTAATTATTGCCAAGGCTTGTTTGTTATTTACTTCTATATTAGTTATAGTATACAACATTGTGTATTTGTCCCTGTCCTCACCCTAATTTTGATTTTATAAGTCAACAAAGCTTAAGGTGACCATATTACCCTCCCATACCTTACAAGTTATATCAAAATAGAAAATCACTCGCTACTAAGGCGGCTCTTCACGTTGGCCAACATAGTGGCGAATGTGTTGGCAAAGATATAAGCCAAGAGTTTGTAATGGTGTCCACACGTTGGAAGGTCGTTCTGTTTGATTCGGTTCAAACCAACGTGCGGACGAATTTATTAAAATGTATATATTGAGGCGCTAACGGCTGCTGCAGTTTATTTATTCACAGTATACCACTACTACGTAAATGTGTATAAGAGTAGGATGGTCAAAAAGAAACTGAAAAAAATAAATTTTATTTCTTGTGTTCCACAAACGATTTTCGGCTTGGTAGAGCTCTTATAAAGCGAAAAGTTTCTTCATTGGTCATTGTTACTGCCATTTTGTAAACAATAGTTACGATGCGTAGATATAAAATTTAAATTAGGTGCATGCGATCACTGAGAGCTCGAAACAAACTAAACCAAACAAACAAACCCAACGTGTGGTGGACGCGGCGGCCAATACTCTGCCACAATGCTTTGAGCTTTTGTAAAAAACAGACCACATGGATCTCGCGCCAACTTCTGGGCCATCATTCCAATACATACCAAATGAAGCACAAACATGCTCTACACAGTGGCCATCGGTATTTGCCACAACATTCGCCACAATGTTGGCCAACGTAGTTAGTTGTTCTTAATAATTTATATTGGTAGTCGGTTGTACAAAATTTTTAATTTTGAATTATCATTAACCCAATATCTGAATCCTGCATTGTGATTTTTAGTTTTATTTTTTTATTCTTTAGTACCCTAGCCCACATAAGTCGGTAAAAAATTAATTATTACAGACTATATTTAATATAATATATATAATAAAATGTTTTATTTGTGAAGTTCATTTTTAGTAGCGATATACTAAGAAGACAAGTAAAGTACATTTTTATAGCTTTTGCTTTATAATATGAATATTTATTTGAACTGGTTGGTTTATCTTTTCTTTTTTCTTTTTTTTAAACGTTATCGGAAACTAACTTTGAACGATTAGAATGAAATTTATTACTTAGAGAATGTGTTACTTTACTAGGTTTTGTAATAAAGAAGTTTTTTTTTTTTACATTAAATTTTTTCTAACGTATAGTAAAGCTCGTCGCTATCATAACAGCTCTATGTTCTAAACATGTCCATGTTTTATTTTTGCTCATTTTATATGGACTTCAAGTGATCGTACTTATACGGTAGACTGGCCTGTATTTTATTTTTAGTAATTTTACATCATAATGATGTTGTCACAAGATAAGAGAATCCCTTGTTAAAGGTGAATGTCTCCGGTTCTTGTTCCACACCCTACGAAATAGCAGCTTATGCTGCTATTTGAGGCTGGTATTCTATACGGTCGAGCCGACCCATTTTGTATAGCAGCTAGAATATGCTGCGCGTGAGTACCATGCATAAGTGAATACGTTATCAAATTTAATTATAAACATAGTAAGTTGACTGTACTTACAAAAGAAAGCACCTCGAGGTAGCGTGTTGGCGTCATTACAGATGGAAGCTTGTTCCGGCGGCCATGGTGGCTCCACCTGTGAAAATTTGTAACAGTCAAAAAATTCATTATTTTATAACTAACAAGCTACACGCTTTTAGAGCTGTGGTAACTCAAGAATCAAGCGCCTCCCGTAAATTTTACAGTACACAGTGTCTATAAGGCCGTAGCAATCACTTACCTTCAGGTGGACTGTGTACTCGTTTGTCACCCTTATCCTATAAAAAAATTCAATTATTAAAAAAAATTACCACACTTCAATACAAGTTATTAAGAATAACAAACTATTGGTCAGACCTTAATCAAATTTATATGGGACCACACGTGAAGAAGCATCAGCTTTCATATAGAAAAAAACCGGCCAAGTAAGAGTCAGACTCCCAAACCGAGGGTTCGGTTCCGAACAAATCCGTAGGTTTACAAGTTTAAAATTATTTTAATACTTTTATTATGATGTAACAAAAAATGTATGCTTTTTGCAATTTTTCCTTTATCTGTCCTATAATACGTTGCTTCGTACCAAATTTTAAGATTCTGAGTTCACGGGAAGTACCCCGTAGGTACAGATTCCCTTGCGAATGTCGAAAATCTGCGGCATAAACGGCTGTAGCTTTTGATTGCGTTGGCTTTAGAAGTGACTTTTTATACAGCTCCAAGGGACAGTAGACTTGAGTATTTGATATGAATTTCAGCTCGATACCTCCACACGTTTCTGAGAAAAAGGGTCTTGACAGACTTACAGACGGACAACAAAGTGATCCTATAACGGTTCCGTTTTTTCCTTTTAAGGTACGGAACCCTAAAAAGAATCTTCGTAATTGGTTCACACAGAAAGAAGTTATGAGGTAACAAAAAAAAGAAGAACATACATAGTCGCATTGAGTACCACCTGTTTGAGTTCTGTAGAAAAGAGAGTTTTAAGTTCGCTCATAAAGAATTTAGTTTAAAATCAAACTGAAGCTTTGGCTGCTGCAGCCAAATTTGAATGTATGAGGCTACAGCTGACTTGCCACCTATGCGGACCAAGAAAAACTGCCTCTGCGGAGTAAGGACTGCTTCACAGACTAATGATACTGGTTCTCTGTACCCCTAAGACCGGTACCACCTACAACCGGTGTGTGGTCAGCTACCACTACCATGTACGATTACTTATCCGCCAGTCAAGCACTGCGTTTACGGTTAACCGCTATGCCACCGATCATTCAAGAGCGAATATTTTTGTTACACTAAGCCAAGGCGGGTTAACTGGCTCTACCGCTGGACCCGACCACCCTCGACTCTACAATCTATATTTCTAGACAATCTACTAATTTGACGGGCGCTCTACATTAGAAGAAGCCATTATGAAGAAAAGTAGTAGTATATATTATATATAATATAAAATATAAATAAAATGAGAAAATCATCAATGTAATATAAGACAATTAAATACGCATTATTAAGGATAACTCGAAAACTACTGGACAGATCTTGATTCACACGAGAAGCACCAGCTTTCAAATAAAAATATAATCCAGAGAGACCAGGGCGTCATAATCGCATCAGCGACAAAGCTCTTTATCTATGAATAAAAAAACTGAGATGTGCGAGATGTGAAGTCAGTTTTCCCTGGCAGCCCTGGTTAAACCGTGCCCAGTAGTGGTACGTATGTAGGCTATTCATTTACCTTTCTGCAGACTTCCAAAAAGGAGACTGTACTCAATTCGAAACTTTTTACTGGGTGAACCAATTTCGATGATCCTTTTTTTGTTTGAAAGCTGGTACTTCTCGTGTGGTCCCATATGAATTTGATCAAGGTCCGACCAATATTTATCGAGTTTTCTTAATAACTTCTATTGAAGTCGGCTGTAAAAAAAACATTAAACTTACAGTTTTATCTGCGATTTCGTAGCCGTGACGCTCCGTAGACATATGCAGGCTACCACTGGTGGAAGGAGAAGGCATCATAGCAAGACTCTTCTGGAACAATGTTTTTTTCAGAGTTAAAATAGTAAATCATTGTTAACTATTTAAATTAAATACCTTAAATATGAAAATTAAAAAAATATGGAACTGTACTCACCAAAGACGCAACAAGGTCACTTATCTGCCCGGGCGTGTCTTCCGCCCAACTGCCGGGGCGAGCACTCTCGCTGCAATTACAAATTAAACTAAACTTACTAATTAACGTTGTTAGGGTACACGCATTGTTACTTAACACTAAATTAATAATTTAACATTGTAAATAAGAGATAAAATCCTGGTATCAAGATTTTGTTAGTATATTTCGTAGTTTTATTACGTCTGGCTACCGTATATCAAAACCCAAGTCGTTGTCAGTCGAAAAAAATCGACTGCTGGACTTTTAAGTCATTTGTCACACTCTGCATTACTATCGCAGTAGCAGACGGGCTAAGCCAATACAGCCTCTCAAACGGACTTTAAAGAAGTCTTTTCTTGAAAGTAATTTTTACTTTTTTTCTACCGACATCAAAATGGAGATCGTACTAATTTTTTTAATGGGTGATTTTTTTTGAAAGATGGGTACGTCTCATGTGGTCCCATATAAATTTGATCAAGGTCTGACCTTAAGTTATTCTTTATAATTTATATTGAAATCGGTTGTACAATTTTTTTTAAATTTTAAATTATTTAAGTTACTTTTCGACTAAAAATAAACCCAAAAAAGAACGTAGTCTTTAAACAGGGCGACCCTTTAAGTGTAGTCTTCTATTCAATAAAAGGAATCTATGGTGGTAGGCACCGGCAAATATATCGCGTAATATTTTTTATATAGAATAAGGACGACAAACGAGCACAGTCCACCTGATGGTAAGTGGATGCTGTGGCCCAAAGACATCTATATGTATAGTCTATCAAGAAACAAAATCCAGATGCGTTCACACCCGAGGATTAAAATGGAACGTCTCATTTCCAGTAAAAAATGTTTCCGGTTCTCCACACTCACCATACGAAACACAGGAGCATTTAGCTGCTATTTTACGCTGGTATTCTGCGAGAGTGTGGTCCTACCACGTTCGGGGCGACCCATTCGTACTACAACTATAATATAGCTGCAGCGTGGCTCTACCACGTATAAAAAACATAGGTATATACCTTAATTATGTCACATTAAGAATCTTTATTACTAATCTAAATTTAGAATCGCCCCCGATGTACATCCCATTTAAAAAAAAGAAATTACTAATTAAAATCTGTTATTACTTGACTGAAGATATCGCGTACCATACGAAAACCATGGTAGTCAAATTAATAATCACTTTTTGAAGTCTGACAAAATTGCTTGTTCTGGTCTATAGCGTAATATTTTAAACCGAATGTACCGTACATTCGGTCTAAAACAGTAGATTTTGACATGAATCTTACCACAAGGCCTCCTTAAGGAAAGTTTTCGTGTATGATGCGTTAAACAGGGATAGCAGATAATGATTTGCGATTGAATCGAGTGGTAAAATAAAATATTTTGTATAACACACTTTAATATAAATAAAATTGAGAACATCAATGTAGGTAGTGGCAGTCAAATAAATACTCAAAAACTACTTGGTTGGATCTTGATCGAGCATCAGTTTGCAAATAAAAAAGAATCATAAAAATCGGTTCACATGGAAAAAAGTTCTGAGGTAACTAATCACACAAAAGTCTTAAAAAAAAATAAAAGTACCAATGGTGAATTGCAGCCGTGCCATGTCCGAACAATTCCACAGTTTTGTATATAACTCTAAAATAATTTAAAATTTAAAATGTTTGTACAACCGACTTCAATATAAATTATTAAGATTCAAAAGCTTGATCAGACCTTGATACAATTTAAATAGGACCACATGTGAAGCACCAGTTTTCAAATAAAAAAAAAAACGTCGAAATAGTTTCACTCAGAAAAAAGTTATGACATTACACAAAAAAACAGTCGAATTGAATACCTCCTCTTTGGAGTCTGTTAGAGATAAGCGGTTTATAGTCAAAAATATAAAACAGAAATGGTCAAGATTTGAAATATTTAAGTTTTAAAACGCCGCGGCGGCAGTTTTGGCGAGTAGTCTATAAATGGAAGATAAAATCAATAACATTCCAATGAGAATTGACATAAATTAACACCATTTATAATTATACTGTTGAAGGAGTGACAATTTCCATTTTTAATCGTGAATTCTATGCTGAGAATCTAATAAAATCCGCATTAAAACTGAATATTAATCATTTATCAAATAGCCGTATTGGCACGTGGAAAGTCTAGCCAAGTTGAACGATAATTTACGTGCAAAAGGCCCGATGTGATATACCTAGATCTTTAACAATATTAAGTAATTTAAAGAAGTTATTTACAGACTAAAAAAGTATAAAGTTCCAATTCGCCCATGATTTTTTTTAAATAGGGTGATAAACGAGCACACAGTTTTCACCTGATAGTAAGTGGTTGCCGTGGTCCATAGACATCTACATTTATCCTCGTTTGCGAATCAAAATGCAGATGCGTTCTAAGATGGAATGCCTCTTTTCCAGTAAAGAGGGTCTCCGGTTCTCTACACTCACCATACAAAACAGCAGTTTTAAGCTGCTATTTTACGCTGGTATTCTGTGAGAGCGTGGTCTCTCCCCGGTCGAGCCGACCCATTCGTAATAAAACTATACCAATATTTATAGCTGCAGTATGGCTTTACCGTGTAATGTGTGCGTGCGCAGTAAAATCAGTGAAAATAACGCATTACCACGCATTTTGAATATAAAAGATAAAAAGGACAGAATATGAGATTTTTCTAATTACTATTTTTTTTCACCATTTGCTTATATTACTTATTACGAACTAGCTGGGCGGGATGAGCAACCGGGATAAATGCTAGGTAGAAGAAGAAGACTTATTATGAACCTTCTCTGCAAATTTGGTCGTTTATTGCAAAATAACCCTGTATAGGTCTGTAACCAACTTTATAATTCTGCAGTCTTAGCAGCGACTTCTAAAGCTAATATGTGGAAATTATTTTTTTCTTTTTAATCTTTTTTAAGTCTGCTTTTACTTTTAAGTTTATTTTTTCTGTAAATAGTCAAATAGCTGCCCGAAGGAGTTTAACACACACACACACACAAACCTAAGAAAGTTTGTTAAATCGTTTAATGTTGCCGAAAGTAGTGGTAGTTCAGGGGCAAAGAAGCTGGCTTTAAAAGTTTGTTTGCATGCAATCAGAGTTGGAATCCCCCGGGTACCAATTAAATTGTTAATTGAAATTTTCATTCGTACATTAGCACGTGATTACCGGGTGAAGGAAAACATCCAAAAATTTTATATTTTGAGAGCAGACTTTTCGTTAAGCTACCTGACCCAGTATTGCCTTCTACTGGAATTTACATCTTTCGTTATTGTTCTACTTATGTAATACTTTTAAAACTGAAGGTTTTTAATTAAAGTAAAAAAAAGAAACACTTCATGCCAGTTGTTACATAGACAACGAAATTGTTTAAAATAATGCCATAATTTTTTGGAAAATTATGTATTTCGCATTGAGTTGACATGTCTAATAACCCTTACCTGTAACTAGCGAACGTATTGGGATGCCTGGGCGGGAAGCATGCTGGTGGTACAAGAGAACGCGGAGTCTGGGCCGCCTCGGGGCTACCGGGCGCCTCCCATTCTTCCCAACGCCAGTCGCGTTCGGTAGAAGTGCTGCTTCCGATCTCCTGCAACAAGGAATAATTTAGTCTTCCTTAATTCGAAGCATATAGTTTTATTGCTTTACACCAACTAAAGGAACAAGCTAACTGAAGCCCTGTAGCACGTGATATTTAGGAAACAGAATATAAAAATTATTAAGAATAACTCAAAAACTATTGACTTGACCTTGATTAAATTATATATATAAATATTTGGAACACTATTATATATATATAATTAGGTAGGTATTTTGGATGTGTTAATTATTATTTATATTATTACAAATAATTGTTACTTTGAAACTAAATTAAAACAAAAAATACGATAATTTAAAATTAAAAATTTTGTACAACCGACTTCTATATAAACTATTAAGGATAACTCAAAAACGATTGGTCAGACCTTGCTCGAATTTATATGGGACCACATGAGAAGCACCAGCTTAAAATAAAATAAAAAAAGAATCGTCGAAATCTGTTGATCCAGAAAATAGCTAATAGGTAAAACCATTGAGTTATATGTACTACGTACTAGAGAACCCATTCCAAACAAAAATTGTGTCCTACTCTATGTCGTCGCGCATGCGCGGGAGTAGTAGTCGCGCATGCGCGAAGACTTTAATATAAAATAAGATATTAATATAAAATAAATTTAAGAATATTTATCTTAATTTAATCTAAACAAACATTTCTTAATAAAATCTTATAATAATTATTTTATGGAATTCTCAAATCTTCAATTTACGCAATATTTAGTTTGTATGGATTGCACTCACTACAGTTCAGTTGAACATAGTCAATGTTCGGAATGGCTTCTCTAGTACGTAGTACATATAACTCAATGGTTAAAATACAAAAAAAACATAGTCGAATCGAGTACCTCCTTTTTGAAGTCTGTATAAAATAAATGATCACGGGAGGTGAATAGAACTGTTTCGGTCTATCTTTTGAAATTCGGAAACAATATTGGCGCTCAACGTGTAGCTCGGAGCGGAAACAACTAGTCCTACTACGAAAAAAAAAAAGCAGTTTAAAATTTTATACGCGATTTGTGCAGCGGCACGACTATGGTTCAATCAGTCTCTTGGATAGGTTATTCATGTCCAGCCGTGGGCTTAGTAATTAAAAATTTTGTACAACCGACTTGAATTTAATTATTAAGAATAACTCCAAAACTATTGTTCAAACCTTGATCAAATTTATATGGGACTACATGTGAAGTACCAGCTTTCAAATAAAAAAAAGAATGATCGAAATCAGTCCGCTCAGTAAAAAGTTCTAGAGGTAACACAAAAAAAACATATAGTCTAATTGAGTACAGTCTCCTTTTTGGAGTCTGTAGAAAAAACTGCGTTTGACAAGCCGCTCGCCCGGCGTGTTAACTACAGCTGAATCCCCCCTACGAAGCAAAATATGGGGGAGGCTTATGTTCAGCAGTGGATTTTTATAGGCTGTAATGGATGATATGGATGCGGAAGCACAGCTAAGTAAAGTATAATATTACCAAAAAGTTATGTACGAGTTCATCACCATCCCTTCACAAGTCCAATGCTGAACATAGGCCTCCCCAAGGAGTGCCACAATACACGGTCCTGAGATGCATCTTAACAGATCGTCACTATATAGTGGGGGCCGGCCTAAATTTCGCTTAAGTTTTTTTTTTTAATTTATTAAGCATAATTATGTTACATTATCCAGTACAATACTAGCATATAAACCTCTAGGGGTTTATCTACGCTAGATATATATAGAGTCACGAAATGTAGAGATAATTTAAACAAGTGCTAAAATTGAAAATAACTCGAGTACTATTGGTCAGACACCTTGATTAAATTTACATGGGACAATATGAGAAGCATCAGCTTTCAAATAAAAAAAGAGAATCATAGAAATCGGTTCACACAGAAAAAAGTTACGAGGTAAACAAAAAAACATTGTTGAATTGAGTACCTCCTTTTTGAAGTCGTCTGAAAATAAAATTTAAAAGCATTGAAATTCTATGGCCGTTGGTATTTATTATTATGTCAAAAATGTACTTGATAATCGCAAAATTGATATTTACAGATTAAGAAAAGTTTCCGAATTTATCAGGTAAATGTTTAGTAAAGTTTGGAAATATACTGAACGAAAAGTACGGCGACTTCAGAATTCGCACGATCGGATATTAGATGTTTTACCATCTATCGTCAAGCTACGATAAATAATTTCATTAAGTGATAAATTATTTTAAGCGCTTTAAAAATAAATTCTTTTGTGACCAAACCTTCGCAAAAGAAATGAAATTAAAACTCAATAAGCGTGACATCGCAACAATTACACATATAGAGACAAGTTTTCCGGGTCGCAGCGTCCCGGCCGATTAGGCGGCGAGCGCCTTGGCTTGGGCTTACCCAAATATTAAATTGCTAGCAGCATGCCAATAGCTAGGCGATACTGCCAAACACGGGTTCACGAACTTTGTTAATCACAAGGGATATTTAAAGTTAAGTTGTTTACTTACATTGGTTTTAATAAATTAATAATTGTGTGCAATAGATATGTATCGCGAATTTTAATGTTACATTTTATGATCACAACAATAAGACATATGTAAAAGTTAGATTCACCTTAAGGTTACTAAAAGGTTATTTGAAGAATTCTTTATTAAAGAAAGTGTGGTCCCGTATGAATTTAATCAAGGTCAAGCCAATAGTTTTTGAGTTATTCTTAATAACTTCTATTGAAGTCGGCTGTACAAAATTTTTAATTTTAAATTATTACGCTGGTATTTGGGTGAGAGCGTGGTCCTTCCCCGATCGAGCCAACCCATTCGTGCTACAAGTATACCAGTAATCTATATTACTCGGCATGGCTCTACAACGTGAAACGTGGCAGCACAGTCCAACTGATGGTATGTGGCTGCTGTAGCTCAAAGATATCTATCCTCGATCAAGTATCAAAATGCAGATGCGTTGTCACCCCCAAGGATTAAGATAAAAAGGGTCTCCAGATTCTTAATCTCTGCTATTTCACGCTTGTATTCTGTAAGAGCGTGGAGCTTCCCCGGTTCAGTAGATTAATTCGTGCTGCATACATAATGCAGAATGGCTCTACTACTGATTAGTAATTGAGAAAGTTTTCAGAGAAAATATTAGTTCATCTCAAATTTCCCACATATAACTGCAATTTTCAATCCTAATACACAACATTAAAAGTAAGAAATAGATACTGATTATGTTTACTGTACTCATATAGTAGCGGTGTAAGAATATCCACTACCCCATATCTTGCAAAATGGTGTCTGTAAGAACAGACAGAGCAAATCAGGAGATAGGCAACGGCGTCTACTTAATAACGACTAAAGAAACTGCGGTTGCCAACTCGCTTGCCAAGCTTGGCAATTGTGATAAATTGATAATAATCTACGGGGAAGGCTTATGTTCAGTAGTGCATTTAATTAGTGCTGTACCAGTGATGACTAGTTAATCGATATAATAAAATCAAAATGAAAATTTACGAATATGGACGCTACCAAACGTAGAGTTCCGTATGCATTAAAAAGGGATTTGGCAAACTATATACAGAGTTCTACAGCAATAGAGCCGGGTTTCTACAGATACCTTGTTCATATTAGATAGAATAATGCTAAGCTTGCGTTGGCGGTAGCGTAAAGGAACATTTAGCATACCCGGGTACCAAACATCGACAACAGGAAGCGGATTAATGCATTGGATTGGGCCGACGAGGTCTTTGCCTAGGGTGGAAAAAATGTGAAAGTCAAAGTTAAATATTAAATACACATTTCAGAGTAGGTACATTAAGAAAAAAATCTAAATTACCTTTAATTTTCTTTTGTAAGCTGTCTATAGGAATTAGATATTATCTTTGAAAATAATTTATTACTTTTAACTACAACTAGTTTCGCTTATGATCCTATCTATTAAGGTCCTGATAGATTGAGAGAGCCATGAATTTGCGGTAAAGAAAACCGCGGTTTTTTAATCGTGGCGAGTGTTTTTGCAGGGACGTGCCAAATTTTATACAACGCTGGCCGCGGTCTTGTGATGATCCACAGCCGACCCTTCTTTACCGCCGAGCCACCAATACCGCGGTAAAGCTCACCCATCGGATCAGGACCTTCATTGTTAACTAACTTGGTATCCGATATGACGGGATCTAACTCTGGTTATTTGCTTCTATGCGATTAAATGAAATTTAATTAAATGAAATTAAATGGCTATCATGGCGCAAAGAACTAAATTAATTAAGGCATTTTTTTATTTATTCATGAGGGTAGTTTGCGTATAATACGCAGTTTTCCCGATCTCATAACGGTGTGTATGTAACTAAAAAAATGTATAAGAATTGTATAAATATTTTCAAGGTACGAGAATTATCGGGTTTATAAAACCAATTAAGACGATAGGATGCAATTTTCTATATCTACTTCGCCAGACAATCGCAAATCTAAACGAGCGTACAAATGCATTAAAGACATAAACATAAGATAAATTGTCAAGGGACCGTTTCGAATCCCATACAAGCTAATCCAACTACAAGCCACCCGTCGCGGGCAGTCGGCATTATTTGGCACACGACTGCCATTAATAGGAAAGCTGGCAGCCATCTTGCCTGCACATTAAATGTGCATCAAAACGGATGTCGTACGAGGCATTATGAACAAACAATAAAGCAGTCAAGTACTCGCTATTCAAATATTGTGTCCGTTCCAAGTATTGAAAATTTAAACAGAAGAGGATTAAATTTTTATGATCGTCGCTAGTTAAACCGAAATCAAAAGCACGCGTAGAAAATAGTACGCAGTAATTGGCGCCCAACGTCGCGCGTAAGTTCTTAATTAAAAGTTTACAATACTGATACAATGTTGTGTTTTGTCCACTAATATGTATATATTACACGCAGTAACTATTAGAATCAGAAGTCGCAATTATTAGAATTAAAAATTGGAATTTTTAAAATCACTCAGAGGGTAGATATAAAAGTACTTACATTAGGACGCTGCTGCTCATGTTTAGGTGTAGCGGCAGGCTCCGAGTACTGAGAGGAGTCGAAACCAATAAATTCTGCCAAAGAGCGGCGGTTCTCCCTAGAGTCCCCGCCACCGCGGTTATTGTCCTGTAAAAAATATTAATATAAAATGCAAGAAATATTACCATACACGTTATTTAAAAATCAAAGCCCTAAAATACAACCCTGTAGAGAAACCTTTACTTTACGACCAGACAGAGCTATATCGGGAGATTTATTATTAAAGTTTCTGGTGGTAGAGTCGGATAGTTTTTGGCAACGTTATCACAGTTACACTTAAATCTTCAACAGATTTGAAATTTAAAGAAGGCCTCCGGCAAAAATATTAGTAGGTAGATTATGTAGTCCTTTTGAAATTAAAAGTTAGCATTTGTTTTTTTAATGCAAATGCTAACATTACACAAATACTTAGAAAGCGTTAAAAAGTATAGGGAAAGTAAAGAATAATTTAATTAAAATATATAACTGAAGATAGATTAGTAGTTCGAAAAATACTTGCCTGATGTAAAAGCGGCATATGTGCCGCAGAGTCTTCTAAAGTTTGTCGAAACACTTTGGCTGCCTACTCGAGCAGAGTTTCGTTCTGATTACAAGTTAGCACACTTCGGCGACTCAACACCGACTGACGAACGCAGCGCGCGCAGAGACGCACGAAGCCATCCCCGCCCCTCCATACTCCCACCACATCCTTTGGAGATAGTAGCCACGCCCACTAAGAATAAATTTTTTAAAAATTTAAGTTTTACTTAAATATTGTTCATTTAAATTTAAATTAAATTTTTTATTTAAGATTTACTAAAAACGTTATATTAACAAATATATATATATAATAAAGTTTTTTTTTCAATAAGTTTGATGGCTTATTCCTAAATTTCCGGTTCAATACTTGGCGCATGCGTACAAAAGTTAAAGTTCTAAATTTAAAGTTTTTATTTTGTAGTATCAATGCAAACTCTTTGTTTTTTTCTTAAGGTTTATAATATTCAATCTATGCTTTCCCAATTTGAGACAATTTTTTAAACAAAGAAGGAAACAGTCACAGTGGAAAATATTTTAATTTCCTTTATAACTTGCTTTTTAGGGCAAACGACTTCCGTTTACTATTTACATGTTTGTCGATGTTTAAAAATAAAAATTGCATTTTAATTACAGCGGTATTTGAAAACAAAATGTCGTACTTTTAATACCGCATGAAGTTAAAATATACAACATTATAACACGCTTTTATTAGCTTGATCTGTATGTATGTATGAACGAATTTTTCAATTCAGTTTTCAACCACCTTCGGGTTATGAATAATCTGAAAAATTGCAGAAGTATTAAGAACGGATGACAGTAAAATAATTCCATGACGATGACCTAGTTATCTAGCGTCATTTCCCAAGACATTTCCCATCACTGACTGCTTTAGTTTTTTTTTCAACTTTAATTTAATTATCAAACATTCAAAAACAAAAGTGACATAAAACGAAATTTACAAACGTATACCGAATAATTTTTAGGGCCTAATATTTATTAATATGACTTATTTTTTAATACATAATTCTGTTATTATCTCAATGCCTTAAATGATAAAACTGTTTGTTAGTCAAACAAAGACCCTTTTTTGTTAAATACTAGCTGGTACCCGGCGCGTTGCTTTCGCAGAAGAAATAATTGCGGAAATGTCGTTTCAAATTTCGAATAGTTATATTGTTTAATTGGGAATGGTAAAACATTAATTGAAATTGAATGATACATTATTTTCGAATAAATTTATCGATACGACACTCGCGCCACCCAGTGAAAATTAATTGTACTATCTGATATTTCGTATCTCTCCTACCCGGGGTACAAATTGGAGCATTCCTTTGTGCCTCGGGCTGGAGTTTGCGTGTATGTCAGAGAGGACATCTGTTCTCGACGCCTCGGCAGTCTTGAAGGTTCGGACCTGTACATCCTTTGGCTACGCGTAGACAGCGACGACCATCCGCGCGTCTACGGGTGCCTCTATAGGTCCCATAGCGGTAATGCCGAAACAGACCGACTCATCGACCACGTCCAAATGGCTACAGATTTCCTGCTACAACAGGTCCCATCCGCAGAGATCGTGATCCTTGGCGATTTTAACGCCCACCATGCCGAATGGCTCGGTTCACGTCTAACCGATCATGCGGGGAGATCTGTTTATGACTTTGCCTTGGCATATGGTCTGACACAACTGGTTACTTCGCCTACGCGGATTCCAGATGTGGAGGATCATACACCTTCCCTGTTGGACCTTCTGCTGACCTCTCATCCGGACGGATATCATGTTTCCGTCGATGCCCCTCTCGGCTCTTCGGACCATTGTCTGATCCGGAGTGTGGTGCCACTCACGCTCCCTTCGCGGTTGCGTTCTGCAGGTTGCCGCCGTGTTTGGCATTACAGGTCGGCGGATTGGGACGGAATGCGGTCCTTCTTTGCATCCTACCCATGGGGGCGGGTTTGCTTCTCGCCGCATGATCCCAGCGCTGTTGCTGACTCTGTCACTGATGTGGTGCTACAGGGAATGGAACTATTTATTCCATCATCTGTGGTACCCATCGGAGGCAGATCTCAGCCTTGGTTTGGTCGCTCCTGTAAGACTGCATTACGCAGTAAGCAGGAGTGTTATCAAGCCTGGGCTGCGGCTTCGGCGACTCGGGATGTAAATACCAGCGCACTTAAAAAGAAGTATAACTTCGCCTCCAGGTCCTTCAAAAGAGTTATTGCCAAGGCAAAGTCAGAGCACATAGGCAGAATTGGCGAGAAACTAGTTCGCCTTCCTTCGGGAACCCGTGCATTCTGGTCTCTCGCCAAGGCTGTCCAAGGGAATTTCTGTAAGCCATCACTACCATCTCTGCACAGGGAGGATGACTCACTGGCCCATGACGCAAAAGACAAAGCCGACCTTTTAGGCTCCCTTTTTGCGTCCAACTCGACTCTTGATGACGGGGGGAAAACACCGCCGACCATCCCGCGGTGTGAGTGCTCCATGCCGGATGTACTGTTCTCACAGCGCTCGGTTCGCAAAGCACTGCTCTCCCTGGACATCCAGAAGTCGAGTGGGCCTGACGGAATCCCCCCAATTGTGCTGAGGACGTGTGCTCCGGAGTTGGCACCGGTCCTAACGCGTCTTTTCCGGTACTCCTACTCCCAAGGCGTAGTCCCGAATTTATGGAAGACAGCTTTTGTCCACCCGATCCCTAAAAAAGGCGACCGCTCAGACCCATCCAACTATAGGCCTATCGCGATCACCTCCTTGTTCTCCAAAATAATGGAATCCATTATTAACTGCCAGCTCATCCGGTACCTTGAGGATCACCAGCTGATTAGTGACCGCCAATACGGTTTTCGTCGGGGTCGATCAGCTGGTGATCTTCTGGTCTACCTGACCCATAGATGGGCGGAGGCAGTAGAGTCCAAGGGGGAGGCGTTGGCCGTTAGTCTGGACATTGCGAAGGCCTTCGATCGGGTTTGGCACAAAGCGCTTCTTTCGAAGCTCCCTTCCTATGGGCTTCCCGAGAAATTGTGCAATTGGATCATCATTGCAGATGATCTTGCAGATCGGAGCATCAAGGTCGTTGTAGACGGTGCATGCTCTGACTACAAGCCTATTAACGCTGGTGTTCCACAAGGCTGTGTGCTATCACCAACGCTGTTTCTTCTGCATATCAATGATATGTTGCTAACTGGTAACATTCATTGCTATGCGGATGACAGCACTGGTGATGCTCTATACACCGGCCGTGCCAATATTTCTCGGGAAAACGTCGCTGAGTACCGGAACAAACTTGTGTCTGAAGTCGAGTCTTTGCTGAACAAAGTCTCGGATTGGGGGCGACTAAATCTAGTCCAATTTAATCCTCAGAAGACACAAGTTTGCGCGTTTACCGCTAAAAAGAACCCCTTTGTCGTATCTCCTCAGTTTCAAGGCACTCCCCTTCTTGCCTCAGCCAGTATCGGTATCCTCGGAGTCGACATATCGAGTGACGTGCAGTTTCGTGGTCACTTGGAAGGGAAGGCCAAATTGGCCTCTAAAAAGCTTGGCGTGCTCAGCAGAGCGGGACAGTATTTCATGCCGGCACATCGCCTGCTACTTTACAAGGCGCAAGTTCGGCCTCACATGGAATACTGTTCCCATCTCTGGGCAGGGGCTCCCCAGTGCCAGCTCCTTCCACTTGACCGCATCCAACGCAGAGCGGCTCGAATTGTCGACGACCGAGCCCTTTCCGATCGGCTCGATTCATTGGCACTGCGAAGAGATGTTGCATCCCTTTGCATTTTCTTTCGCATCTACCATGGGGAGTGCTCTGAGGAATTGTTCGGATTAATCCCAGCCGCCAAATTTCACGAACGCACATCGCGGCAGAACTCCCGATACCATCCACACCATCTGGATGATTGGCGGTCCACCACTGTGCGATTTAGAAGATGTTTTCTTCCTCGCACGACCTCCTTGTGGAATCGTTTACCATCAGCGATTTTTCCGGACCGATACGACTTAGGGACCTTCAAGAAAAGAGCGTACTCCTTTTTAAAAGGCCGGCAACGCATCTGCGATTCCCCTGGTGTTGCAGTTGTTCATGGGCGGCGGTAGTCACTTACCATCAGGTGAGCCGCATGCTCGTTTGCCCCCTCTCCTATATAAAAAAAAAAAAAAAACTATGCCTTATAGGCTTCGCGGAAGTGCATGCAATATGTTCACAGTTTTACCGCAATCTGACAAATGGTATCGCAGCGCATAAAATACGAACAACGGAAAATTAATTTTTATATATTAGATTATACATAAAATGTAGAATCGTTTTTTGATGTCAAAATCAAACATCTATTAGTATGTTGGAATACAAAAACTTAAAAGCCTTACCTACACTCAATACATCTTTCCGAATAATAGAGATTGTAGTGACAGATAAACGACAACATATCCCTTTTAAAATACCATTATAGTAAAATGGGGGGTTTTCAAAAATTTAACATACCTTTGACTTTGATCGCGTACTAAAGGCCCGGCTACATGCTCAATCATACTTGCACAAATTCTGATTTTTACAAGAAGATATACGTTAAGCCGGCAAAATGGTATATCGTGCAAATGGCTTGCACATATACTTAATTTGTTCAAACTAAAGTTGCACAAGCAAGTACCTATGTACGATAAGACGGCACACATGTTTTTCCGCGAAAAATTTGTACAAATGCATGCGCATGCAAGACGGTATCGTGTGGACGTTGTGGCAGTGCACTATGTTGTTTGTGCATGCAGCCGTGTAGCGTGTAGACGGAGCTTAACACTTGTAAGCGGTTGTAATGATGATGGTGCCATGCTTGCTAATAGGAGGACTCGTCCCGGCTGCCAGCTCTTAAGAACCCGTCAACACATAATATTGGTGAGTTTATTTTTATAACATTGAAATACGACTTCTAGGCAGAATAGCAGCTCTACCACTACCTAGTAGAGTACGGGCGTATCTTTAAAGTCATAGGGGAGACTGGGGACACTTGAACCCCAATTTTGTTTTTCAATCATCATTTCCATGATACATATATACTTAGATCAGATTTTAAATATGTCGATAATGAAATACGTGCAATTTATTTTAGTAATCATCCCACTAAATTTATGTATGAGGGAATGGTATAGAGTCTCCCATATATATACCTAGTCAGGTCATAAGTATTGTCACACAGAAAAACTTTTCTTTTAGACTGCTGGCCCCAAAAATTTTTATTGATTTCGAATTTCGAATTGTTCATGAAAATAAAACTGTATACTTTTTAGAATTTTACTCATTTTTAAATATGGAGTGGACGCTTAAAGAAGACCGTGTTGCAGTTATTGCGTTGCATCGTTGCGGTTACGCGCCAATTCAAATTTTTGACATACTGAAAAATTTTAATATAACCAAAAGATTTGTTTATCGTACCATCAAACGATACAATGAAGACTCTAGTGTAGATGACGGGTCAAGAAGTGGTCGCCCTCGGTCTGTTAGGACTCCAGCAGTGATAAAAGCTGTGGAGGCGCGAATTCAAAGAAGTCCCAAACGTAAGCAGAAACTGTTGGCCCTTCAGATGGGGTTAAGCAGAACCACGGTGAAAAGGGTGTTAAATGACGAGTTCGGGCTTCGGGCATAT